CGCTGCTGTAGTAGTGGTTGTGGTTACGGCCGTGGTTGTGGCAACGTTTTTGTTTGTGTTTGCTGCTGCTGCTGCTGCTGCCGCCGCCGCCGCTGCTGATGCTGCTGTTTATGCGTTTGTTTCGTTCTTTGTTGCTGCTATGGTTTGTTTGTTCGTTCGTTCCTTCTTTGATTTGTTTTCGTGTGGTTCTTCTTTGTTGTTATTTGCATGTTGCCTGTTGTGTGTGTGTGTGTGTGTGTGTTCTTTTTTGGTTTATGGCTGTTGCTTGGTGTTGCTTGTGATTTGTTGTTGCTGGTTTTTATGGCTTGTTTGTTGGTTGCCTGTTGTTGGTTGGTTCCTTTTTACTGTTTGTTGGTTGGCGACCGTTTTTTGTTTGTAGTTTTGTTGTTGGTTGCTGGTTGTTGTTTGTTGGTTGTTTTTTGTCGCTTGAGGTTGGCTGCTGGTTGGTGTTGCTTGTTGGTTGCTGTTTGCTGGTGCTGGTTGTTCTTTGAATGTGGTGGTGCTGGTGGTGGTTGTGGTCGCGGTGGTGATCTGGTCGGTGCCGCATTGTCCTGGTCAGTCATTGTGAGTGATAGTTGCTTGTGTTTGCGAAGGCTTGGACTCACACCAACAGTACATTTTTGCGGTCCGTGCTCGCAACGAGCATGGCTGGGGACACCGCAGCGGTTGGTCGCACTCTTCGGAACGTACCAGTGCACCAACGCGGCCACATGCACCGCGATGCTTTGTTGCACTCAGTTGCGTGAGTCGAAGCACCTCCACCAAGTCAGAGAGCTTTGGGTCACGGCGGCATCTGGATGACCTAGTCTAGTGTTCATCAGAGCTTGGGCCCAAGGCCACGCGCAATCCCCGTCTGTAACTGTCAGCAGCACTTTGGCACACGAACACAAGTCGAAGATCCAATAGCGAAGCGCGGGACACGCGCGACCCCTGTGGCTAGCGAACTCGCGGTGCTCGTGGACGCTTGCGAGTGTCCAGCCTGGTGGTCGGCCTCGTGTCTGCGCCTTTGAGCACCGAGCTTTGGCCCGCGCGTCGTGCCAAAGGCCTTCGGACCTTAAGCCCCTGGCCGCCTTAAAGAAGGAAAGACATCTTCATAGCGTTCCTTCCAATCCCTCAGCGCTTCGGGGGCCATGCAAGCGAAGGAAGCGAAGGAAGCGAAGGAAGCGAAGGAAGCGAAGGATGAAGAGAGAGGGTCCAAACCGCTAACCACACCAAGGAAAGAAAGAAAGGAAGAGCGAAAGAGGGAAAGAGAGGCTGAGAAGAAGAAGAAGAAGGAGCGAATAAAACAGGGACAAGAAGAGATAGACTCCAAGCCCGCTGGACCGCCAAGGAGTGATTCGAGAAACCTCCAGTGCTGTCGAGATAGCCTGGGAAGCTCCAAAAAGTGCAGCTTGACTTTCTGATTGTTTGGGTATCCTCAACTTAAAAAGATTGATACACGAGTGCGTGGGTTTGCCTGCTATACTGCGATGGTAAGTTTGTGGAGTCCGACAGTCTGCAAGGATGCAACGGTGTTGGACTATGAAGTTTGGATGGATGAAGAGGAATCGCGCCACGACGAGGAGGGCGTAAAGGAAAAGCGGGTACGCACATCCCAGACGACAGCAAGAATTGCAGGTTTGAGGCCATCCACGCGATACGTCTGCCAAGTTAGAGCTCTCAGTTTGTGCGGCTGGTCACGTTGGTCCGTTCGTGCCAGATCTTGCACAAAGGCGAGTGGGAGCAGAGCTATTGGTGACCAAGATCAGCAGGATCCAACTGAGAGCACTGTTGAGAAAAGCCGGGACAAGGGCGACGTCTCCAACAGACTTCTGCCGGAGCTCGTGGAGACAGCCGCCGTCCCGTCGAACAGGACCTGGTGTTTGCCATCTCCACTCAAGGAGTCAAAGGAGTCAAAGGGGTCAAAGGGGTCAAAGGAGTCAGAAGCATCTCCGAGGGCAAGCTGCGGCTGGCTCCGAGCACATCGAGCACCGACCCCGCTGCGCGTGCGGCAGCGCCTGCTGCACCGTCTGCATGCCGCGGCGGAGGTCTCCAGCCACCGATGAAGATACGCCAGGGCGCAGTTGGCAAATGTGGCTTGAGCTGGACTGGGACGGTTGTGGTGATGGAACGACTTTGAAGTCGACGCCTGTCAGCATGAGAAGGGCTTGGCCATTGCGGCCATTGCGGCCAAAGCTTAGGTTCCCACAGTATCCAGAAGTCTGGGTCTAGGTGCTCGGACACGCTTTTGTCGGCGAGTTTTTGGATTCGAGAGCCTTTGCTTTGTTTACAGCTCCTGAGGTGCTGGAGTCGGAGTGCTGGACAGAAGTCGCCAGCGACTTGTCTAATTCTGTTTGCTGTTCAGGGTGTGTGCTTTCAGGGAGTGACTGTGCCCCCCAAACTTGAACCATGCAGCAAGCGGCAGTAGGAGGAACGCTTGTGGCAGCTGGGCAGTTCCCAAGCATGCACCCTGCCTCATGGTGGGCTAGCCAGCGCCCCTCACTGAACAGAGAAGTTCTGGCGTTGGTTTTGCTCCCAAATTTTGTCGACGCCAGCGAAGCCGCGGCGTTGCAATTTGATGCGTAGAAGGGTCCCGCAGCGCTACTCTGATTCTGCACCACCTCCCTTTACATCTTCCAAATTTGGCGAGGCATGCATCCAAACGAATCAGACGAGCACTTGCTGCTCAGAGCGGCGCGTTGGACCCTCTCAGGTTCTGCGGGCGCGGCCGAGGTATCATTGAGCTTTTTGTTCCTCAATGTCTCGGCTCGCACCCCGCGCAGGACTCTAGGATGAAGCCGTCACGCGAGGGCGTCGCTTCGGCTCTCCATGCCTAGCACCTGGGCAGCCCAGGTGGAGCCCGTTGACAGAGGGGCACCGATGCATGCCTTTCTTTGGGCAGTTTTAGTGGGGAAGATCGAAACTTCCCCAGGAATTGGCTCAAAAGTCAGCTTTGCTTAGTGCTGCTCTGCAGCTCCAAAGGCTTCCAACCAATAGGCGGGTGAATGTACGGTCCCAGGATGTTACACACAGTGTGGCCCAACTGTGCTGTGGCTCATACGAGCATGGTTAGCAGAATTAGCACCCGCCCAAGCACGGCAAGCCTTGAGAGAATTCGTTTTGGCTCGCACGACCCATTATCTTTATCAAACGGCGCATGGGCGGGCGCAGTTTCCGATTAAGTTCTTGCATCGCATGTGCACGTGATCATTGCCTCTCTCCAATTACCGTTGAGACGCATTGCGCGGCACCGTTGTGGCTCCCAGCTCCTTCATTGTTCGCGGTAGATACAGTCATTGAACGCTTCAAGGCTCACTGGTGACTCTGAGAAGGCTCGGGCAAAAACGCAGAACAAAGACTAACTGTAACAAACCGGCCAAGTAAGTCAATCAGTTCACGCCTGCCCGCGGCCATGAGTGGCTACGAACCCAGCAAAGATCCCCCACCGAAGGCCGAAGCCACAGGTCAGGATGGCAAGGACGGCAAGGAGGGTGGGAAGGGCCAAAGCCGGAGCAAACCCAAAGCTAAGGGTAAGGCTGAGGCGAAGCAGGGCAAGGGCGGGAAGGGCGGTGAGGGCAGCAAGGGAAAGGGTGGCCAGGGTGGCCAGGGTGGCAGGGGTGGTAAGGGTGGCAAGGGCAAGGGCGACTCAAATTGGGATGCCGCCCAACAACGCAACCTGGACAGGCCACAACTGACTCTGGAGGACCTGCAGCGAGTGCGGCCTCAGCGATGCGTCGAGGCTTTTCCACATCTCACCGTGTGCTCAGATTGGCCTGAAGCTGGCAAGTCGGTACCCAGATCCGGCTCAGTCACTTATCTTTGAACAAGTTCCATTCTATGCTTCCAGGTGCATATCTACCGGAAAGGAGAGAAGCGGCCATAAAGTGCAGTGAAGCGCCCACTCCTGCTAAGGCTTTCTATCTGCCTCTGATCTGGACCGCTCTGCTTCCGCCGCCTGGTGCGTCCACAGCAGAAGTCGAGGCTTCACCCGCAGTGGCGCAGCTACAAAGCCTGGGTGACGACCGGCACTTCCACAACGGGCGAGTGCGCCGGGCATCCTTGGCGGATGTGCACCAAGGTCAGGTCTTTTGGAGACAGGTCTCAAGCTCAGTTCTTTGCGACAGGCCGCCATTGGTGTCAGCTCCTTTGCCGTTTGTACTCAGGTCTTCTCCGGCTGGGATGACTGGGTGCACCGACTGCGCATAGCCTTGGCAACTTTTCGAGCTCCTGATGGCAGTTCTGGTCACAGGCTAAGCTTTGCCCACAGACATGGATATCCCACAAAAGACAGTAGTCGCAAAAAACCTGCTGAGGTTTAGAGGCCTTAGTGTCGCACCATGTGAAGACGGTCTCCGTGACAGCTGGGGCCATCGTCTATGGCGACCTGCAAGTCTTGGGCGCCCTTCCTCACATCAGCAATGCTCGGAAATCGCCAGACCAAGATACAATCCTGGCACCTCAGCTGCGCACAGAGCCGCCGTGAGCTGCGCATAGGGAAATGGCAAGCAGAGCGCGAGAGTCTGCAGAGGCTGTGGCCCCCCCATGGAGACAACACATGTGCATTACACAGGCGAGCATTGGCGAGCACAGTTCTGAGCCCTAAGGAGCTGGACATCATGCTGCGTATGGAGGTGGAACTTCAGTTGCAAAAAGTGCAGCTCGTGGAGTTGCCTTGCTTGCAAGAACTTATCTAAAGCAAACGGTAGACTGTGTCCAATGCCCTGGGCCTGAGGAAGCATCGGTCCATACACTCTACGTGGCCTTGTGATGCCTTGTGAGCCCATAGGTCGCGAGTAGGATGCGATGGCACGGACAGGTGCTTCGCGATTAGCCATTCAAGCCATGAACGCCGGAAGGTTCAAAGTGTTAGACCACACTGGTGTTTTAGCTTCTGCGTCGCTGGCCCGAGGCAGAGCCTCTGCGTTGAACACTGCCGCCGCATCTGAAGTCTGGAAAAATGGCAAATGCGTCGTGATGCATCCGTGTCAGTCTTGGCATGGCAGCTGTTCTCAACAAGACAGGCTGACAGCTGCGACATAGAGGAGCTGGGGACACTGCGCCGGCCTCGTAGCATAAGAAAAGACCGTGCATTGGCATCATCGGTGTGCCATGATGTACCATGCACGTTGCATGTCGTGTCTTGCATGAGCGCGTGTTTATTGTCGAGGTTGTGGACAATATCCAGACAGTTGAGTTCTCAGGAGGGCGGGCGATCGGAGCTGGCTTACGCGGATGGCGGGATTTTAACGTGGGTTTGCCGGGTATGTGCCAACCCGGAACGCTGATGCCTTGCTTCCATCCTCATCTATAGAGTAAACACAAGGTTTTTCCGATCTCCAAACTTTGAAAAGTTTTGCCCCAGGCCGGCCGCGGCGGAGCGAGGGCCTTGCTGGCGTCTGGCCACTCGCTGCGCTGCCGAGGTGGGCCAGGAAGATGGCATGGGGGGGCCGTTCGTGGTAAGGAGCGAGATGCACAGGCTCCAATATGCTCCAATCAGGGGAGGTCGAACCTTGAGCAGAACGCAGTACGCAGCTTCGAGACTCATGACGAGCCTTGAGGCTGCAAGTAGGCTAACGCAAAGTAACGACCTGGCATGGTTTCGCCTGAGCAAATTGCGGCCACGTGGAAACACTCCATGGGTTTTGTTCGGTCTTTGCGGCTGTCTGCAAGAGCAAGCCGAAACAGGCCGATGTCTTCACCCCACAGCAGCTCGTCCAGAACCCAGGTTTGCCCGATTCAATTCGCTGAGGTTCAGGAGTCCAGGGTGCACCTTCTCCTTTCGTGCCGTAGGAATGACAAAAGAACTTGGTTTTGGCATCATTTGCTGGTAGATCTGGTAGCTTGAAGTCAACCTGCTTAGGCCAATGCCTTACAATGCCTTTCCCGGTTGCCGGGCCACGACGTGGCGAGCGAGGCTTTGTGGCTGTTGCAAAGCCACGTCAGTTGGTTGTGGGATCTGGAGCTGCGCTGGAGCTGCGATCAATGACCATGCTGTTAGCAAATGACGGGCCAATTTGGTGGTGGTTTTTCAGAGGCGCTCGCGAAGGCAGTCTGCAGATGCATGCGGAGCTTCAGTGACTCAGACCTGGTGTCCTCCGCGTGGTCTGCATCTCGGGTCTCAAGGAAGATCAAGCCTCTGTAGTTTTGCAGGGTTGGGAGTTTGTGGGCCTTCATGTCTGGCGCATGCCGTGGCAGTGATTTCCACAGAAGTAGACGTGCGTGTGGAGACGCTGGAACCATGAGTTGTGTGGACATTTGGCAAGACAAGGTGCTTGGCACAGTCCTCCTCCCAGCCCGGGCAGGGATGCGCTAGTCGATCTTCTCCTCAATTCGTCAACAGTAGCCTGAAGTATTCTCGCGCTTTCAAGTGCAGAGGATGGGGCGGCACGATGTGTCTCTGGTGGACATGCTTGCAGTGGAGGTCGTGCTCTCAGTCACAGTAGATGCCAGCCTATCAGCACCAGCATCAGCATCAGGAGGGCTTCAGCATGGGCTCGCAGGTTCAGCGCCGCCTCCATTGTCTGTCCCCGCAGCAGCTGGCACCCCAGGGTGGGATGGGGTTTGAAATCGGTTCCATGATTTGGTATGTGCAAAGTAGTTTACTCAGGGTACGCGAAAACTTTGCATTTTTTGTAACGGTCGGGGATTTGGGAAGTACATGTGTTTGATGGGCTGTGCTGAGGCTGATCTCCTTGGCTGGTAGCTTTGCCACGATGGGCCGAGCGGTGCCGGACCTTGTAAGGCCTGGAATCTGGCATGGGTTGGCAGTACGGACATTGGGCGGTTGACTTCGATGGCCTGTCAGGTCGATCACGTCAGCCATTCTCGGTGCAGGCCTTGAGCACTTGACCGCCCAAGATGTTCGGATCCCAGTGATGCAGCCATTGTCAGAACCGATATACAGCTCTGCACGGCCCGCAGTCTTGAACCATAGGCAAATGGGCGCTTCATTCCTTGAGGTTGTGAACTGTGCATAACAAATGTGTCAATGCCTAACTTTACACTCCTTAAGTCAGCAGGAATGTGCAGGTACAGTGTGGGTGTCATGTTCGGAAAAGTTTGCGGTGATGTGAGCAAAAAAACAGTTGGCAATCTTTGACAGCACCTCCAATGACTGGGCCCTGCGGCTGGACCGCTGGATGCCGGAATGCCCGATGGGCTGAGACGCCGCGTTGCGAGCTTCAAGCCCTGATGCTGCAAGCAAGAGCTGTGTAATTTGCCCACGGCCACTGGATGTTCATGGGCCAGAGCAGCTGAGGTTGAAGGACCGCTTTAATTTGTTGTCCAGCCAAGGTCCCTGGACATTTTTCGCAGCCCAGCCAAAGGCATCCTACAGGAGGAGACGCAGCCAGATCGCGTTAATAAGAAACTACTCCAAATAACAAAAACCCAAGGCAGTTCGAAGCCAAGGTGGCTGGGGGTATGGGCGACGGTTGTCGCAGCAGTGCTTTGCTCCACCCTGCTGGCTTTGCAGCTGCCACCTGGCATTTTCAAGGAGTCCGGTGATTGAGCTAGGCAAGGGCTGTCTTTCTTTCTCAGAGGCCGAAGGCGCCATGAATGGGCATTGTTAACATCGTGTTCTTTACAGTACAATGTGGTGTCTGACTTTCTGCAGGCATGCTTTCCTGGATAATTATGCTTCCTCCCGGTTGGAGTGCCTTGCCGTGCGAAGAGTAAGATGGTCTCCTGCAAGCCCTGCCCCGATGAATATGCCGGGCTTGTCTTCTGAAGCTGAGGGCCTGGACAGAATTGGGACTTGTTCTTTCGATGACAGCCGCCGAGGATTGACTCCGACCAGAGCGAGCTTTTGAGGATAACCTTCAACGTGTCGATTGCAGATTTATCCTGCAATTATGCCACTGTAGGGGCTGCTTGTCTTGGAACCTAGAAGGAAACACAAATGTGATCTATTTGTTGCTTTGTGATTGCGGGCTGGCACAGGTCTTCGATGCCTTTGGGAATGTTCGCTCCAACCTAACGCGGGATGTTCAGAAGCAGCCGATCGACCACAAAGGACCCGTCGTGCCTCCCATGTATGCGGGAAGCTACCATGGCTACCATGGAAGCCCTATGATGTGCGCGCTCTGCACAGGGGCCGAGAAGGGCCATGCGTACACCGACGAGGAATTAACTGAGCTCGCTGCTGGGCGCTGTTTGTGATAAGGGTGGGGTTTATAGTATTGGCCTTGCTCAAGCAACCACGAAATTGCTGCGCAAAGTTGGAAGCTCGATGGCCTGCCCACAGAGTTCAGAACCTCCATGCCAAGGAGTATGCAGACCGCCCAAAGCTGTCGGCGGAAGAGCAGTCACAGCTCGATGCCGATTGGTTGTCTGCAGGCTTTCATCACGGCTTTAGCTCACAAGAAGACGCAGTGGGTGTTTGCGTCGGTGGAAAGGCTTCCGACCGGGGCCCGAACTAGTTTATGATATGCTGCAGGAGAAGTGGATCGTGGAGACTTCCATGATGCCTTGGAGGCGATCCCGATCACGTCCCGTAGTCAGATGCCGTATTCCTGATTTCTTTCAACAGTCCTCTCATTCTTTGCTGGCTTTTCTCTGGCGCTAGTTTTTTTGCAGGCCCATGACGTTGTCTTCGTGCTTTTCTGCGTTCGCAGCGCGGGGCCTTGCAAGATGATGATGCCGGCTTGGGTGCGATGGTCGAAAGATGTCAACGAAGGACATTGAGACTTGATTGGTAGGTTGCTGCGAAAGTCACTTCGCGCAGTATGAATAGTGAGTAGTAGCAAGTGGCTTTCTTGGCATTGCCAGGTGTGCCAGTTAGCCAATGATAAGATGCATACCGGATCACACCGTAGCTGATACCGAGTCTTGCGACATCAGATTGGGCCTGCCACCGTATCTTTTATGCGTCTCTCCCTTTATTTCTGTATCTATCTATCGGTTCAATCATGCTGAACAAAGTGGTGACTGAACCAGCGAAACATTCTTTCGCCGAGTTGTTTGTGAAGATATGGATGCCAGCAATCATGGCAAACATGTGGCAGGGAAAGGAAGGAAAGCAGCAGCAAGAAAATAGTGGATAAACAATAGCGCTGAGCTGACGTTTCGCAACATGAAGAGCGAAGTGTCGTTGCCAGATGTCTTAGTGAACACAGATGTGCTTTAGGGATGACATGAACCTCTGTGCAACACCAAGTGTTGTATGTGTTGTATGAGGATTAACAGTACTGTTGTGAATCTGTGGAACATGGGCATTGCACTTCAAGTTCAGAGCACTCCACCTCCCGAAGGACGCCTTACCATGAATGATGCCGATGGCACTCGTGCGGATGCGTGGGCTCTGCAAGTAAACTGTGGACCAGAAGGCTTTCCAGAGCTTTGCCAGCAGGACCTTGCTCGAAGATTATGTCGTCATGATTGTCATTCGTACTCCAGCCAACCTGTGTACACACTGTCCGCAGGAGGGCGTGACGCGCTTTCCTTTGATGCGCCTCTACCCACGCAGTGTGGCGGAGACTTGGGCGGAGATTGAGACCACCCAAAGCTCATAAACATCATAACATCGCCGATTTGTTGTTTCGCACCCACTCCGTTCCAGAAATTTTGAAATCAACTCTTTGCGCAGATTCTGTTCTAGAATTCCAGGGAATGCATCCCGCCCATCGCGTCAGGCGAATGGACGCCTCTGTACTTGCATTTTTCCCTGAATTAGGCCACAAAACCCTTAAAGCATCACGAATATTCCGGACTCTTTGACCGACTGGTGGAACAAGCAAAGTCCTCATGCCTGTGTCGCTGCGTGGGCGTCCACTCAGGAGAGGGCCAAGGCACCACATCGCGACTTGAAGTTTGCCTTCCCAGGCAGGAGCAGGGCAAAGTCAGATGTGCACAACATCTCCCAAGTCCGCAGTGCGGAACTCTGCCGCAGCTCCCATCCTTTTGGCCATGGACATGTTCGACCAGATGCTGATAATGGACCCCAAGATGGCCCAACAGTGCTACGACCCGTGGCAGCTGTGAATATAGAGGGGGATTCTCTTTCTGTCTCGTTGGTTTTGAGGTTCAGTTACCTAGGGGGAAGAACCAATGTTTTAGAGGGGTACCGCATTGTTCGCCAGAGGCCTGGATGCAAAAGTTAGACGGTTAGGCGTGTGCTGGGCAACCTTGAGAGCCCGGTCCGAATTAAAAATTACTGCATTCCATTTGACATTCTGTTGGCAAGTGCCCCTCACTTGGTCTCTTCGCACGAGACCCAAGGATGCCTTCACACGCATCGCCACTGACGTTGTGAAAGGTCGCCACTTGCACACGCACGTCACAAAGCACGACGTCTTTCAAGAAGGTTGCCGGGTTAGCCGCTGCCTTTACGAGCAGAAAGCAGGAATATCAGTTCACTCGAAGCAAGTTGGGCGTTCAGTGTCCTGGTGACCACGAGCTGAGGTGGACATATAGATGTCCCTCGTGTTCCGGGCACTATCCACATCCACGCAAAGAGTGGAGATGATCATGTTCTGAATGCAGCCTTCACCAACGTGTCCCACATCGTTCACCACCTGTCGTTTGGTAGGCTTGGCAAGTTGCTTCGAGCTCGAGGTAGCACCCCCTGCAGAGTCCACCAGGCCGCTCGATGAAGAGGGCGAGCGCCAGGAGCTGAAGGCCCAGCTTCCGGCCGCGCGGCTGCAGCCTTCAGATGCTTACAAGTGGCTTAGAGGTATAATTAGAGTTTGTCGTTGGGACTTTGAGCAGAGAAAGAGACTCGCACATTGGTTGGAACAAATTGCATCAGCCTGGTTGTGTGAGGCCACCTATGGGACGCATGGCACAACGCTTGATGGCAAGGTTTTTGCATCAGCCCACTTTCACCAAGGACCTGAGCATGTCGACGGGAACTGCTGCACAACAAGCCTTTTTTGCTTTTGGGGCAGCTTGAGCGGCAAGGAGCCCATCATTACATCAAGATTGTCCATACCCGACTCGACAGCAACGAGCGCGCACGACTTTACCTGTACACGTGACTTGTCTGACGTTTTAGCGCGGTCCCCAAGAGCGACGTCTACTGCCAGCAGGTGAATATGTCGCAGGCCTTGAGAATAGGAGATGTGTCGAGAGCATTTGCTCAGGCATCAGTGGTACATGCAGACCTACCCTCGACATGAGTCACCGAAGGCGGCCTACCAAGTCCTGTATCATGTGAGTGTGGAGCCACAATCTTGAGTGGAATCCTTGTCAAAGGTGAAGCTCTCCTTCGACCTGGCACCTGTCGAGGTGGTGATCTCGCAGCGTCACCACTGGTGCCCGGTTGGTTTCAAACGAGGTTTCAACTCCGAGATGGCATTGTCCTCAGGTTGCACACTCGTTTTTTTGGTTGAGGTACGACTTCGTGACAACAACACTGGCGCTTGTGGGTGGCGGCTTTTCGTGCGTACAGATGGCTTACTCTGCTTTACATGGAATCACGCGACGCAAAGTGGCGCCGATAGTTTGATGACATGCAAAAGGATAAAAAGACGTGTCCCGAAGTTTGTTGCAATGTAACCCCAGGAAATCCGAGGAGCATTGTGCGTGAATCCCTGTTGCGTGCGCTATCAGCTTGACGCGTAGCTGGGCCTGCTCCGGTCTCCGCCATGTCGTGCGCCGGACCGGGAGCCTTGCTGTGTAAAGCCCTGTAAAGCTCGGCAAATCAATCTTAAGGTATACTCAGCACTGCCAAAGCTCGTCCAAGCTCCAGCCAGGTACTATGCGGGTCCTACTGGGCACCCGGCTGGGGGGCGTTTGTTCCGACACAAGCTCACGCCACAAGAGGAGGCAGCCGACACAGACGTGTGATTGAGCTGGACAATTTTTCTTGGTGTTAAGTTGAACAGGAGATCATCCGAGTATCCTTCGATGCCTTCAGCCA